GCCCTGGGGGAATCCCCCCAAACCTGGCCCCCGCGGTCCCCCGGGGCCGGTTCGCTTGTTTGGGAAAAGATTTGGGGGGGGGCACCCGGGGGGGGGGGGGGCTTCGGGGGGGGGTTGCTTTTGTTGGGGGTTCCGGGGGGAGGGTTCCCCCCGGTGGACCCCCCCGGGGTTTTTGGGCGGCGGGGGGGTCGGCTTTCGCCCCGGAGCCCCGCCCTCCCCCGGGGAGGCCGGTGGCCCCTTCGGGAGGACCGGGGGGAAGGAAAGGGGGGGGGGGCAGGGGTCCCCGGGGGGGGGGGGGGGGGGGGGCAGGGGACTCGCGCATCTCACGCGGAATGGAGCGGAGGTTAACGCGTTGTCCTGGTTCAAGTTGGTAGGAGTGATCGATCATGTGGGAGGCACAATCTGGCCGCGGTCATCGACGATTATGTCGGACAGAGAGAGGCCGGGGTGTGGTGATGGGGTCGAATCGGTTCGGCGATGTAGTGTGTGTGCGCTGGTCTCCGCTTGCTTCTGTGCAGCAGTAGTGCAGCTGATTGCGGGGTACGCTCCTCATCGTACCTACGCCATCGGCTGTGGCTCAAAGAGACAGGAACGTGTGTCTTTCAATTTCTTCCTTCGGCGATGAAGGTCTGACCTTGGCTCCCTTTCTTTATCTCCCCCCCCCCCGCCTTAAGATTTCCGAGGCTCTGCAGCAGCTAGCCCAAGCGGTGCGTTTCTTGGACGTTCGGGATACCCCGCCCGCACCGCCACCGGGGTCTCCCGCGGCAGCAGCAGCCCGAGGGATGTCTCCGGCGGGACCGGTCGCGGCGGACGGAGGAGCAGGCGGGGCTGGCCCGGGAGGGGCGGGGGCTGGAGGCGCCGGCGGCGGCGCCCAGTCTCAGCACATCTCGACGGAGCTCGTCCGCACGCTGTGGCCGATGCTGGAGGCCGTTCCCGGGCGGATGGGCGGCAGCCCGGAGGTGATGCGGCAGCTCTTCCTACTGGTGGGGAAGCTCCTGACCTCGCTGAGGATGGTCCTCGCCCGGCAGGTGCACATCCCGACCCTCCTGAAGATGATCATGGACTCGTACGACGAACACCAGTACCCGTGCTGCCTGGACATCATGACGACGGCCGTGGAGGTGTACGGGTCCGCGGACGAGGCGGTGGAGCACTTCCGCGCCCTCCTGGGCAGGGCGTCGACGCGGACCTTCACGGTTGTGCAGGTATGTGTCTTTATTTATTTGCAACATCGACCGCGTAACCGCCTAACCGCCTGACCGCCGAAAATATGTCAGTCTTGTAGCGGAATAAAAAACATCCACACCTTCTAATCAAAAGGTAAGGGTTCTACGGACGAGGGTGACGCAGGAGTTGGACGACAGTGTGTGCGTGCGTGTGTGTGTTTTTTTATTGTTAGCGTCGACCGCGCTAACCGGCTGACCAATGAAACGGCGTACGTCAGTCTCAGTGTGCATGTTTGTGTCTTCATCGATCGCGTCGACCGCACCACCCGGCCGACCAACAACAATACCCCAGTCTCACAGAATTGGAAAAACACGAACACGCTTTTGTAGTTATCGTGCGTGTCGTCCCATCTACTTCACTCTGGGCGTCAGTTGACGTCTTTCGTTTTGCTGTGCGCATCAGTCGGGGTCGTATAGGAGGAGAGGACACAGGGATATGTGTTGTTGTACGTGCAGGTGTGCGTGCGTGCGTGCTTCATGAGCTATCGCGAGTTTCTTGTCTTGCCTTTTTGTTTTGGCGAACCAGCTTTTGTTTGTTTTCGATCCGTCTTTTCCTCCATCACCCTCAACTTGCGCCCCCCCCCCCCCCCCCCATCGCGCGCCTCGGCTTAAAAACAAAATGAAAAAGGGGGCCCCAAAACCCGAAAAATCCCCCAACTGGGGGGCTCGTACTTCCAGCTGCTGTTCCCCTTCCTGCTCTTCTGCCCGGGGGGGCTGCTCCCTTCCCCCGAGCTCGACACTGCCCTCAAGGTCCCCGTGGCCTGCGTCCGCGCCCCGGATCTGGAGCGAGAGTCGGCGAGAGCAGTGCTGGTGTTCCTGGGCCAGCTTGCCGGGCGCTGCGGCGGGCAGCTTGACCGGTACAAGGGGGAGGTGGAGGCGGCGCTGGCCCCGCACGGGGAGGCTCTAACGCGGCTCATGTTCGCGGCGCTTGCGGTGAGCGAGCGGGGGGGAGGTTGCGCGTGGGTGGGGGTGGGCAAAGGGGGAAGGTAGGCGAGGGGTAAACAGAAGAAGGGAGTGAAAAGCACACGAGCACGCTGCTGCTTGCGCTTGGGTCCTCTGGGCGTCGAAACGTCGAAAAAAAATGTTTTTCCCTCATATTTTTCGTCGTTATGTGTACCGGTGCCGTCATCGTCGTCTCCACGTGCCGCTTGCAGGGTGCCTCGCCCTCCCTGCTGTGGCCCAACCTCATCGACGCTTTGTACGCCTTGCTGAGGGCCTTCTCGGAGCCTCAGCACCAGGGGGTGTCGCAGCAGTGGGTGTTCGGGGCGCTTCGGGACGACCAAGTTTGCGCCGCTCTCAGCGAGGAGGTGCGTCCTCACCCATGAGCCGTAGTCCTTGAGCTTTGGGTTTGCGTACACTTTGCGCGAGGCGGAGAGAGCGGGAAGGCGCCAGGAGGAAAGAAAGAGCGGACGAAACCGTGTGGAAGTTGTAACGAAAAAGCGGCATGCAGGGGCGGGGGACGTGCTCACTAGAGGCTGGTCATGTTACCAATAGACCCGCACATCCCTCTCGAGACGGCCCGCCGTTTCGACTCTCCTGCTTCGATAGCGCACCTACATTGGCGGGCGCTCTTGCCTATTTTGCCGACGGTGACATTACGAATGTGATGTTTTTGCTTTCCGAGTCCACCCGCGGGAGTGGTCCGTCCGCCTTCGAGGAGGTGGTACGTGGCACGGATGGAGAGGGCGAGGCAGCGCGTTGGAATCTGTGGTTGGTTGTATCTCGCGGAGTTGCTATACGCCCGCCCCTTGTCTGAAGTCTCGCTCGTTACAACTCTGCGATCTCCTACCCCAGCCCCCTCCAGAATGACGATGATGGACGGCGCTTGCACTACAATATAGACCCTCTACGTGGCGGCCAACGCGGCAAGCCGGTCCGTTCCGAACGTCGCTCGCTCGTCTTTTTCGTTGGGGTCGTCTTCGTCGGTTTACTACTGCCTTTTGTTTTCTTTTTTTTTCCCTGCTTGCAGGAGCGGCAGCACGTGCTGGACGCCGTGTTCCGACTTCTCAACGACAGCAGGTCGCGGTTCAAGGCGCTCATGCTCGACCTGGCCAAGATCTGCCACAACGAAATGACCAAGGACGGGCTTCTCGCCTACTTCTTGTGACGCACGAGCAACCACAAGCCCCCCCCCCTCTATCTATATATGCCGTCTACATAGACATATTTTTTTTCTCCGGTGTGGGTTTATGCGTATCTCTTTATTTTTTTCATCTCTTTCGGTATCGACAAACTTCAATAAAGTACCCCCCCCCCTTTCAGCATCCCTCGACCCCTGGTTTATGAAACATCGACATGCTCTAGGCCAGTGGTTTCGCGCCGCGGCCCCAGGGAGATAGATAATAGTTAACATACCCCCCGCCGCCGAGTTAGCGACCACGTGCATCGTCTCCCAAGACCGTGATTCAAACGTCGATCGAGTGTGAGAGAGAGACAAATCTCGTCGTTTTTCTCAGTTTGGAAGGAGTGTCAGGTGGCTTTTTCGGAGGCGAGTTGGTGGACGTGGGGGCCCCATGTGTGTGAGACAAGATGGCGGCAGGTGTACCCCCGGGGTTTGGTTTGGTATTTCGAGGGTCTAGGCGTTGTTGTCGCGCGTGCATGGGAGAGACGGAGGCGGCTGCCAAGATAGGTCGACCGCCGCTAGGTGTGTTTTCATGGATGACAGGTTTAGTCTCGCAGGTCTGCGTGTGTGTGTATGCGCGCGCGCCTGTTACAGGGTTCTCTATACAGCTTCTTGTCCGCTCGCTTTCTCTCCTTCCCTGCCTACGGAAAGAGCAGGAAAAGCTCAGGTGGCCAGAGTTTGCATGGCTTGCGCCGTTCGCTCTTGTGTACCTGTGTTGGTTCGGTTCGTGATTTGAGTTTTATTTACGTATGGTAGTAGCCCTCCTGGTCTAGCTATCGGGTTGACTTACGCCCGCTGCTTTGTCTACGCTTTTGTCGTGAAATGTGCAGCAATGGTAACAGCAGAACAGTTTTGCGATTTTTGGTTCTTGTTCGTGCATGTGTGTTGTGGCTGTTGTTGTTGTTGTTGTTGTGCCGTCCGATTCCGGTAGTTTTTGGCGTCTTTGGTGAGGTTGTTTGTGTTCGCTTTCGCACTGGTTTTTGCGTGTGTTTCATATACCTGTACCTGGCTAGATTAATCCTGCGTGCTGCTGCTGCTGCTGCTGTAGTTTTCACAGCCAGTACAGCTTGATTGCTCGGGCGAGACTAATAGATTGAGATGTGTGTAGTGTTGTCTGCAAGCTTGGGCGCGGCAAGTCGATTAGCGAGCTAGCTCTTTGTTTTTTTTACATTTGTGTATTCTGCAGAGGAGAACACGTGTCGTTGAGAGAGCAGGGGTGAACGCCAGAACCACGCTCCAACAAATGACCCTTGCTTGCTCGCTCTCACTCTCTCGTCTTTGTTGGGTTTTTTTTTGCATGTTGTCACGCGAAATGTGTTTGTACCTCTAGTGTACGTTGGTGTGTCTAGTGCGTTTGGTTCTTTGAGATCGCCCGTCACATCGTTTCTTTCATCTCCTCTCTGCTCCGGCATTAAGTTGTACGATGGCTGAGAAGAAGGTGGTTGGATTGGTGGGGAGGGGCGAGCAAAGCCATGCAAGTTCAAAGAGAGCAGTCTTGTATTTTTAGCTAATAGAAAGGCGCGAGCGAGGGATTGGAATGGAGACCCGGCGAGGACCCATGTGTGATGCGACCATCTTTTTTTTGTTTTGTAAGTTTCCATGATGGTCGTCCTTTTTCTTCTGTTTGGTTATTTTGCAGCTGTGCATTCAGTAGAGAAACTTTTTGCTGACTGCATGCTGCTGCATATTTATGACTCATGACATGACATCAATCGATAGACGGGGCTTTTGCAGCAGAAAGTTGTTTTCATCTGTGTCTGCGCTGTTGGGCTGCATGGGTGTCACATTGTTTTTCGTCTGCCAACGTTTCCATGTTTGGGCGTGGTGGTTCGTTGCGTAGCTGCAGACGTTTCGCTTCAAGCTTCGTGTTCCTTCTGGCACCCGCTTCTCACCGATTTGGGGGCCATGGGCGCGCGCGTTGTGTCTTGTGAAAAACGCTCGGGCTCGGAGCGACATGCATGGACGGTCGGCGGTTGAACGATGTGCCGGCCCGTAGATAGATGTTGTGGCGGAGGCCTCTGTCCTGTGTACCAAGTTTTGCTTGCTGTCGAATCCGTTTCGTTTTTTTTTTATCCCTGTACCGTGGGTGTGTTGGCCCGTGGCTGATTCTATTATGAAGGGAGAAAAAAAAAAATTAACATGCTGTGCCGGTGACGACGTGCGTGCGTTGCGCATGTGTGGAGGAGGCAAACGGCAGCGAAGGCAAGGGTATTAGTTGTGGATGAAAAAACGCTTTTTTTTTTCCAGGACAAGGAGGGGCTGCCGGAATCGAAGGAGTGTGGCGCACTTTCCTAGGCTGGATGGTGGGGCGTCGTCTGATGTGACTTCTGGTGTTTTTCGCGGTGGTTCATTGTGCCATTAATATTCGTTAATGATATTAGTAATCAATCGTTCGTTGTCTGTCGTTGTAGGTGTGCTCGACGCGTTGTTGCATACTTTTGTGTCCGCCGTGGGGGTGAAGACAGGAACACGGCCTCGAGACGGGGGGATAGCGGTGCAGGCACGGGGTTCGATTCTCTCTTCTGCGGGTACGCTGTCCGACCATGTGCAGATGGATGGGAACCGGTATACACGCAAGGAAAGTGTGTGTGCATACGGACCAAGACAGTCCGTACGTACGTACGTACGTACGTGTGCACGCGCTGTGAAGAATGAAGCGTTCGTACGGCACATTTCTTTTGCCCTGACGATACCAGCTGGATGAGACAACTGGTGGTAGATTTGTGCGGCCGCAATGGGGTGGGGGACGGTATGTGGCTACAATAATCATAGATGATGCAAGATGAAGGCAAGTGTCTTCTTCCTTCAAGCTTGAAGGGTTTATGAATAATCTCACAAACGAACAAATGTTAAGCCTTGATTTATTAACGGGCTTATCCCTCCTATAGTACTGGAATCCCAAACGGGGACACTTTGGGGGACACAGCACTCAAATGCCTATTTAACCGCACTGTAGTCACCCTAGGCCCCGCTGTGTGCAACTCACGTGAGAACCCTTGGTCTATTATACTTGGCTGAGGTGGTACGCTGTGTGAAATGCTGTGTGATACCTCTCCTGGGCCTCTGACTTGCTGTGCACATCTCCAAACCTGCGCGCCCCTATTTAGATCGTAGCACTGTACATCGCCTGGTACTGGAAAAAATTGCCGACTTGGCCTCAGTTTGAAAAGTGTCCCACGTATGAAGCCAAGTAACCCTTTGTCTGGCAAGGAGCTCAGATTCTTACTGTAGCCCCCCGACCAATGGCTGATGACAAACATTTTTGCGACATTTTTTTTTGCGGAGGGACTGGATGAATGACTGGATACTACAGGAGGGTTAAAATATACAACAATCAATCACTGGGTACATTATTTATTGGTTATACATGAACAATCGGAGGGACACGGACGTGTACGTATTGACGTCTTTCAGTGAGTGGATAAGGTCCTGCTCGATACAGTGGTATTTTTCCTGAGGCCGAATTTCGTTGTCCCTCCATAACTTTTGACTGAAGTGGAGAACAAAAAAAAAAATAACATGTTATTAACGCCCGCGAAGAGGCGCAAAAGAGTAGCGAGTCGGAAAAAAAAAAAAAAAAGGGAAAATTATGCCTTTCGCCGGGGCTCGAACGTTAGTCCTGGGTCATTTTTGCACCATTTTTGTTTTTTTTTGCGTCGATTTTTTTTTTTTCATTTTCTTTTTTTTGGTTGCAAACATGCGTCACGTCGAGTAAAACACCCCCAAACACCGCACAAACGCAGGTACCCTTCACCTACTGTACTGTATCACCCTACAGCAACTTTTGGCAACGAGCAACCGCACAAAATACGTGTATTCACACAAAAAAAAAAAAAACAGGTAAAAAAGCTGAGAAAATGTGGCGAAAACAGGGGGAAAAAAGTCAGTGCTGGACAGCACAAGGAATACAAACGCATGCCTCTCTACTTCCTCCACGTGTTCGGCGTCGGGCGCCTGTGGGACTTGAATTTCTTGTAGATCTCCTTGCCCGTGGGTCCAAGTGCACGTGCCTTCAGGTACACGAGGGCATGCGTGTAAGCCTTCTTGCAGTAAGCCTGGACTACCGCAATGGCCTGTCTACAGTATCCTTCTCCGGTCTAAAGCTCAACGGCACGTTTTTGCGCAAGCATTCCATCGAATATGTGCAGTTCTGGCGCGTCCAGTCCTTCGCACGGCCCCAAACGAGCTCGATGGGGTTGCACTCGCAGTGGTACTTGGGGAGCATCACGCAGACTCCCCCGTGCCGCCGCATCAACAGCACCAGACTAGAGTCAACTTCCTTGAAGTCTCGCTGCTCTCCCAGAACATGCTCCATGCTCATGCTGAGGTCCTTCTTCTCGCCCGTCCCCCCCAACTTCGACATGCCCTTCTTCAGCAACCCCCTCTCGAACAAGATCTGCCGCATCCCCTTCAGCTTCCCGACATACTCCGACGGTCGGAGGTGCTCGGCGTAGAAGGGGGGGTCGTCCCCCCTTTGGAAAACCAAGTGCTGTGTCGTGCCAGCTTTGAGGAGTGGCGTATCTTCCAGAATCGTCACGGCATCCATCGCCGCAAGCTCTTCTCCCTTTCTCACTCCACCGAAACCCACGTTCATCCCGCTCACCCTTGGCGCGCCGACCTCTAGGCAGTCATGGCAGGACGACCAGTCGAACAGGCACACAGGCTTGTGGTTGGGGTAGAGGACGGCCACCACATCCAGGACGTCGTTCGTGTGGTCCAGCATTTTCAGACCGGTCCAGTAGCCCTCCTTGTTCTTGCCGTACTCGAAGAGATGGAAGGACCAATAGTTGCCGTCGTCGTCGACATGCAGCATGTCGATTGGCCGGTACTTCTCTGGTTTGATGTTCTCCCCTCGTCTAGCTGCAGCCGCCGACTCACGGCAACGTTTCTTCCGGTTGCTCTCGGCCTCAGCTACCTGGCTCGGCGACGCCGAAAAGAAGCCAACGTTGTGGATGATCGTTCCTGACACCATGATGCCCTGGCCGGGTGACTTCTTTATTACCACACGCTGGTCTTTCCTGAACCACGCCCACTTCTGGTCGTCGTTGGCTGCCGAAGAAAGAAGAAAACAGGGGCGGCCAAAAAAAAAAGAATCAGAGAGTGCAACAAAAACGTTCAGTACTCTGCTGTAATGTACAGTACTCCTACACAGTACTGCTGTATGTGCGAGACCACTGCACACAACCCAACCTTGTCGAAGTATTTTTGCAACTTTAACTTCACGTGGTGGACGACAATTTTTGCATTGCTCTACAATATTTTTATGTTTTGACTTGACTTCCCACTAACCTCGGAAGATGCTCTCGTCCTGGTAGAGAAGCAAGGCCTTCTTCCCGTCCGGGTACGTTTTCTTGCTCTGTACTTTAGCTTGCAGGTCAGGCGACAGGTCCGCCAACGCCGATTGTAGATCGTCGACACTCACCCAGACACCGTCACCTTCCTGCATGCGGTCGGCCTCCGGCACTTCGTTCACATCAATGCCCCAGGCCTCGGCTTCCTCGTTCGGCACCGGAATCCACACGTCCATGCGGTCGCGAGCGTCGAACAGTTGCGGCAGAAAGTCGTTGTTCCGGTACTTGAGGGTCTCCGGGTCGTCGTGGCCGTCGAAGTAGAGACCCTTTTTGGCACCGTGGTACTCGCATCCTAGCTTCTTCAGCCATGCCGTTGCTGTAGACAGGGAGATGAAACGCTTCCCGGGAACGGGGGGCTCGCCATCTTTCTCTGTTGGTTCTTCCCGCCGCACTCTCAAGCCGTCGAAAGGGTCGAAGTCCTCCGTCTCCAGCGCCTCCAGCTTGGGCATGATGGTCTTGTTGATCCACTTGCGGAAATCTTCTGCCGTCTTGTTGGCTTCACCGCTCAGTATGCCGCAGTTGTCCAGCATCCACTGCTTCACCAGCTTTTGGATGCCTTCGTCGAGCTCCAGGAGAAAGGTCCGCTGGAAGCGACCTTTTTCTGGCGGCTTGATTTTGCCGCGTGCTAGAAAACCATGCTCCCAGTCGTTTACGGTTCCAATGCTTCGTCTGCCCACTCGTGCGGCAGCTGCTAGCGCATCGGTGCGGTTGACCCCGTCTTGCTGGAGAAGGTACAGATGGAGCAACGTCATGGCCTGTTGAACCACGTGGGCCAGCTGGTAGTTGGACAGGGCAGCCCCCGGTGCGCTCGCCTCGTCCTGTGGAGAATGCCGGAGGGAGAGAGCGAGGGTGTGGGGACGGGGGGGTTAAACAACTGTTGTCGATGAAATGAACGTTACAGTATTGCTTTCGGATGTGCACTGCACAGCAGAGGCGCCCATGGTGCTGGGCGGACGCAGCAGCAACTTAACAGCAGTGTTTTACAGCAGTATACTTATTCGAGTGGTGACACTGTACACAGCAGTACAGTGGTTAAAGGAGAAAGTAGTTTGCGGCAGTACATTACTGCTGTACAGCAGTTCTTTACACACTCAAAAAAAACACTCACATCTTCCAGTGCCGCTTGCCGCACTGATGGCCTTCTGCGCATCCCTCAACACGGTATCAAAATACTCGATGCTGTCCGCGCGAAATTCATCCGCCGCCGCCTCAACCGCCCGTGCTCTGAGATCTGCCTCGCGAGCACGCTTGATCTTTTTTCTAGCCTGCGATGTGTTGTACGTGCCCTTGTTCATGTACCTCTTCATCGCCTCATCGGCCATCTCAGGCTCAGTTGCCTTCCACGCCCGCAACAATTCTGCCAGCGTCCCAGCTTGAAGTTCGAGTGCGCCTGGAAAGGCTTTGACGAGCTCCTCGCGCAGCATGGTAGCTCTTTCTCGCCGGGCCCTCTTTCCTAGGCTTCCTTTCTTCCTCCCGGCGCCCTCTCTGGCGCCGCCGCACCCTTCTCGCAACCTTTCGGCGCCTCCAACACCAGGTTCTTGAAGAGAACCAGGTGCGGGAGCTGCAAGTCTGACACCCGTTGTAACCCGGGAGGGTGGTTGCTGGATCGCTTCATGCTGGATGGTCTTTGCTGCAAGGTCTAACCATGTTTGCGCTGTGATGGTTCTGCATGCTTGAGACTCGGCGGCTCTGTCTCTGCCACGTGCACTCTTCGTGGTGAACGTCCGGCTGTGCCACTGAAGTAACGGCTGGCCGGCCTGGCTGCTGTGTCTTGCTTTCAGACCAATGCGGTACTTTCGTGGAGCCCCTCTGTGCACCTCGAGTTCTCCGAGCTCGTACTCAGCAGGCAGAGTTCCCTTCACATGCAGCAGCGCATCTGTATCGGGGTCCATGGTCCCGCCCAAGATCTGTGGCAAAAGCGTACCCTGCACGCCCTGAGAAATTTGAAATTTTCCTCTGCTATGCAGACGCTCGGAGGTTCCAACCAAACGTTTTTAGAACCCATTTTTTGCGGGGATTCCAAAAATGGAACTTTTTTTTGCGGCAAAAAAAGTCTTCGTCGTCGATTGCGCGTTTTTCCTATTTCTCGCCGATTCTATGAAAACGGCCAACCCAGCGTAGCTCGTGCCCATCTAATTTGCCGCAGCCAAAAGTGTGTTCATTCGAAAGCTCTCGTTCATAGCTTTCACATGATATATAGTTTGCTGTGTGAATCGTCTGCATAGTGGAGATATTAATCATTTGTGCCTGGGCTGGGGGCCGGAAAAATACCACTGTATTGACTGACGGTTTTACTAGACATTCCTCGGGAAAACAAAAGAGGTGTTTCACGTCTCGTTTGTTTGTTGCCGTAACTGTTATGCTACTACACACATGTAGTCTACCGCCGTACATTCTCTCCCGTCCATGACACTCACTCTCGAAACTAAAGATTCAAGCGCTCATTTGAAGAGATCGTGTCTGTGTAGGTTGCGCACATTGAACATAAATTTCCTACAAGTTGCAATAATCATCATTGGAAACGGTGTGTTGAAAGGGCTGTGTGGTGAGAATTGATTTGATGCTGCGTACGTATGGACTTTTCTTTCATCTTTTGCATGCACTTGTTTCATTGCGGATCCCAGCCGAAAGTGTACCAGGTTGGATCTGCATGCAGCAAGCAGGTCTGGTGGGGACCCTTGAAAAAAGCTGTCGCACTTCAGCAAGGGTCAGTGTGTCCGAGTGGTTAAGGAGACAGATTTGAAACCTGTTGTGATATCACGCGCGGGTTCAAATCCCGTCGCTGACGTTAACTATTTTTTTTTCCAAAACATTTCCCTCAGTTTTTTCCCAAACTGTGTCTTCTTTTTTCCAAAACAATATTGCCGGCATGCACCTTGAACAACAAGTAGTGTGTGATTGCTTTCTAAAACATATTGTCTTGCCCTTTTCACGCACCCCTGTGCAAGTAACTCCAGACTGACTGTCTGTGCCACATTCGCGTCGTGTTCGGAAATCGGATTTAATCATTTCATTCGGATATTTCAGGATTGTTTATTTTCGCCTGTCTGTCTGTCTGTGCCCCCACTCAGTGTGAGATACGAGATGCATGCATGCATGCATGCATGGTATCCTTCTTATACTATTTCCGGACATCTGAACGATGCTGAATACATCGCAGCTCATGGGGTCGCTTTTGGTAGCACGCAGCCTCACGCCCGGAGAGGGAGATCCCTGAGCGACGTTCGTACTTTTTGTATTGTCGCACGACAAACTCACTCCTGACCGTGTCATTGCTCGCAAACGGTATGTTTTTCCGTATATTATTTTACTCTCCACCGATTGACGAAGGGGGGGAGGTGGAGGGAGGGAGTGGTGAAGAACTCACTGCATTGACCCGCATCGATCGGTTTTAGACGCTCACTGAGATGACATTGGCCCGTTCGTCTGCGGCGTATATTACCAGAAAAATATGGTACAGTGGTAGAAGAAGAGTAGTAGTAGATGTTTCGCGCCTTCACCACACGCTACAGTACATACATACAGTAATTTGACAATACATGTCGACTAGATGATTGGGGGGGAGACGGCCGACACGTAACAACGAGCATGATTTCTTGTTTCTCCAACACACCAAGAACGGAAAGAACTGCAAAAAAAGGATTAACATGTGGTCCCCGATACTTACTTCTAGGTGAACATTCAGTATTCAACGGGTTGTTCTGCGTGGTGATCGGAGAAGAAGTAGGCAGCGGTGCCTGCCGCGTTTCTCAAGGAATTCAACCGTGCGTGGTCAACGGTGGATGGTTGGTGATGACCCTGGTAAGAAAAAATAAATTTGTTCCCCGCTAGTCTTGTCTCGCTCGCAATCATCTGTTCCGCCTGTTGAAAATGCTTTGCTATTTACTATTTACCACCCATCCATGCACTTGTTTTTCTATGTGGAAATCAATATTCAAGCTTCAATCTATCTTCCCTGCCGATCGCTGATTTGCTTGCAGCCGGTTCGCAGTGCCTCTCCCCCGGGCCGTCGCCCCCCCCCGCATTGATAAGCCGCTGCCTGCAGTAGCCCAGCGGGACCACCCGGTGCTTTTGGTGGTCTCGAGCGTTGGTAGCCCCGGCCCCGAAGACTCGCCACGTCCGTCCCTCCGACACCTCGAGATCCAAATCTGCGAACAACTTTCGCACTCCTTGCTCCGTCTGCAACGCCTCCAGGCTCGTCTCGACCATGTTGCACGCGGCGGTCGGCGGAACAGCCGAAAGGTCTGGTGGTGGTACCGCCGAAGACGGCAGCGGCGGCTCCGCTTCGGGGGGAGGATGGGGCAGAGACGGACCACCTCCTCTTGGCTTTGCGCCTCTTGATGCGTCGTCGTCGTTACCGCTCGGCGGTGTCGATTTCCTTTCGTAACACCTCCTGAATGTTCTAGGGGGGCGGGTGAGAAGAGATGGGTGAGATGGGTGAGTTGGGGCGGACGGGTGAAGTAGGAGGGTAAATCCTGTTTTGTTTTTTTCCTGCCTGAGTCGCTTGCAAGACCTTGGTCGCGTTCTCCTTTCGAGACGGGACATCGTTTCTGCTCCGTATGATAACGCCTCTAACTGTCGGCCATTCTAAGTGCAGCGCCATGTTTCATGCCATAGCTTAGGTTGATTGTTTCCATATTTTCACCTCAACATGCTTGCACGAGTTTCACCGCTGCTTTAGTGTCTCGCCTGTTGTTTCGGCCACCTTTGGGTGTTTCTGGTTATCCTCGTGGAATCATCGGCCCCCAAGCCTTTCGTTACTCCTCCGCCTCTGGTTCTACTATTAATGGACAAAGCCAACAATATATTCACACACTACAAGCCTGGTTTGAGCGACAAAGCTCAACGAAAGAGCGGGGGATGTGGGGAGGTAACACCACATGCATGCATTGCTTCGGAAGAAGCACAAATTGGATTGCAGTTGGATTGCCCTCTTTGTCCCGAGTTCAGGCCTCGGTGGGTGTCGAAGTAGAGCCTGCACGGACACCTTGTTTGGGAAATGGTATGGGCTTTACTGTTCATCGATGTTAACCACCCTCAAACAACCGCCTGCCGTGAACACAACACGCTCAATATGGGCATCGACCTTCGTACCGTATCTGGGTCTCCGTGTTTGCGGCATACGCAATCAGTGCCTCGAACCCATCCATGTCAACCTCCTGGACGGGAGATAGACGACGTTTCTCACCCCCACCACACGGCGCGTCCGCATGCTGCCGGCAACGGTCGTGAGCGCTGGTAGCGGTCGCAGCAGCGGGAAGTAGAAGCCAGTCGCTCCGCTTGTGCCGGCGGCAGAAATGGCCTAGTTCGATACGGCTCTTCAACACCGCCGCCGGATCGCGACGGAGCACCACGACGTCCACCCGAAAGTGTGGCGCTAGCTCGCGCTGAGCACATCGTAGAGATTCGCAGTAGAAGGGTGAGAGATCAGAAGCACGACCGGCGGAAATTACGCGAGGGTTGCTGAATAGAGTACTGTAGCTGCTCTATGGTGCGCAGTCTACTTGTCCACCGTGACGCGTTCTGATGACGAGAAGGTCTTGAGAAAAAACACTTCCACGGTTCCAAATTCCGCAGGTCTTCTCGCACGCTTTACATTCGCGCGTGTCATAGGAGCTTCGAAAACTGGCTTACCATAACGACGTCCGAAAACGTCTTCAGGAACAGGTGTGACGTCTCGACGTACGTCAGGGTTCCGATGCCCCTGTCCGACAGGTGGTGCCGTGCCGATCGCAAGATTTCCTCGGCTTTGTGGCGGCGTTTCTCGTAGCTCTTTTCTGGATCGGTTGCCGCCGCCAGAAGGTTATGCCGCCCGCTGAGGTCAGGAGAAGCCTCGTGAAGCGCTTCGACACAGGGAGATGTTCCCAACAATTGAGACAGGTAGTGTGTCCCACACCTTCCCGTACTGCGCCACGATGATAGAACAGGCGGTGCGAAAAGACTTGTGTATATCTGTCCGTCGTTTCTGAGCGAGACAAGTGCTTCCTGGTGCACACAAGTACAACTGAATCGGGGGCAAACATCGGTACAGATTGACAGGCGACATGTAACCCAGGACACAGATTCCAAACACTTCATTGATCTGCGCGCGAATTCGGTGCTTTGCATTTACCTTGCCACAAACACAAAGCGCAGCTTTCCCGCCATTGTAGACCTCGCCATGGCATCGTCTTGAGCAACGAGCCCCTCTCTGGTGTATTTTCTGCCTTGAGCAGCAAGAAGGGTAGTGTCTGGTTCCAACCCCCCCTCTTCTGCTTCACGAGTGGGGTGCTTCCCCCAGACTTCCAATCCGCCGATGAGCACATGCTCCGCATCGGCGGCCCCTCCTCTCTCCCTCTCTCGTTTGTCCCCACCGTCACCAACAGAGGCGGCGAGAACATGAAGTAAGGCGTCCTCGACCCACATCCCCTTCTCGTTATCACCCGAAACGGCCACGTCGCCGGCGTAAACACGAGCCTCGTAGACCACGCTCCCGTTTGCCCACGCTCGGAACGAGAGCGCGCCCCCGTTGCCCGGCGTACGCCGCATGTCCGCCTCGAGCTGTATCGCGGTCGTTTTTCCGTGCTCTAGTGAGAACGGGACTTGGTGAATCACGTGCACCTGTGCGTCGGGAGGAACGGGGGGCGAGGGTGGAGTGCCGACTTGAATCACTACCTTGTGTGTTCGTTTGGGGGAGCTCGGAGCCGCAAGAGCCGCTCCAAGCAAACAAACATTTTTTCGTTTTCTCTGGTAGACCGATAAGCCCTGGCTCGCCCATCTTCGAAAGTGGCCTATGGTGAGGAGAGTATGGTTCATCCGAGAGAGTGGCGGTAAGGAAACGGGAGTCTCGCCTTTTCGAGCATGTACGCACCTCGCAGACCTCTTTCAATGGTCGCCCCAGCACCATCAGCGAGCAGAAACCGATGGATCCTTCGCGCCAGCGCACGAAAAATCGCACGTCCCCCGACATTCCCAGCCCGGGAAGTTTCCCCCGCGGGCTCTTCTTTGGATTCCACCGTGGGTGAACCCAGTACCGCACCACCCCGTGCAGGGTACGGGGTCGGATGACAGATCGTCCATGCAGTCCAGACGAGCTACTGTCACCGCCAGCCCCCGCATCTCCTTGCTGTTGCCCCTCGATGCAAACGTGTACCCAGCCACCGACCATTCGTGGCGGAATGGCGACTCGATCACGATCGCCGAGGATAGCGCCACACGAACCCGGTTCGGTTGCCGGGTCGTCACCGTCTTTGCTGCACGCATCCCTGGCCCGCAGTCCTTCCCAAGCGCCCATGCTCCCCTTGAGCTTCCAGCCTCCCCCGCAAGTGACTCGGAGTCTGCTGCCGCCGCCACCGCCGCCGCCGCCGCCTTGGTAGGCTCGACCGGCTGCCCAAGCGTCACCCCACGCCAAGAGAGACAGCCCCGCCAACACCTCGTAATCTCGACGCTGGAGGCCCTCAAGCTGAGTCTCTTGGTAGTACGTAGCCCCCCAAACGTTTGCGGTGGGGGCGCGGGCAGATGGAGAGAGCAAGGACGAACTGGCGGCGAGGGAACGGTCGACCTCGGTGCAGAAACGCTGGAACAGTCCGTCCACGGAGGCCCGAAAGTTGGGCGCAGTCCGGTGGGCCCTTCTGTGGTCGGTCGCAGGGTGCGGCAGGTCGATGAGGTACGCCACCGGCAGCGCGCGAAACGTCCACCCGAGGCGGTGAAGGTGCCAGCAGTGGGACACCTGCGTCGTTACCGCCGCGTCGTCATCATCGCGAGGGAGGTCGAAGATCAGCCGCGACGAAGAATGTGGAGGGTAGATCTTGGTTGGAGCTCCATAGCGTCTGGAGGTGCCTCCAGCTTTGCTTGCACTGAGCGGGATGTCGAGGAGCATGTATCTACACATTTCGAGCAACGAGGTCATGACGGGTCGTGATGCCCCGTGATGCTGCACAAAAGACATGGAAGCGGCAAGTCGAAGCGGTTGGACGCTTCGCCGTCTGCTTCAAAGAGGAGTTTGGAGGAGAATCGACGCTGCATCCAAGGCCTGGAGACACAATTGCCTTGCTATCGCGGGAGGCTTTGTCGAACCCGGTGCCCGTCTCGTCACGCCAAACATCGCAAAGAAATGACGAAGCCGCCCTTCCTGACTTAACGTTGCACTGTGTGCCGTGTGATTTGTTTGAAACTGTTTTTCTCGTTCATCACGTCAAGTCACCACCAAACGAATTCCGTTAGACATATCGTCCATCCCATTGTATTGCCACCTACGGCCATGTCGCCTGGATACAGACAGGATCCACGGCGCGAGAGAACGGTACTCAGACGTAAAGGTGAGCCGACTTGTAGTTGTGGTCTGTTTAACAATCACGTATAATGTTTCGTTCGTAGTTGAGGAGGGCCCGTGGAAACAGTCACTCGCGGCCGGACGGGGCTCTCCGCGCCTCAGGAGCTACGCAGTGTGCAACTGCAGCCCCATCGTCATAAGAGACGACTTTGTTCTGTTCTGTAAACCTTTCTAGCTGTAAAACGAACTCGAGACGTACGACTGTGATTGAGTCTAATCTTGGCGCATACCTTGTCCAGTCCAAACCCTCGAAACCTCTCGTCAAACGGCGGGGCGTGGCGGCGGAAAAAGAGGCCGTATGGCTCGTAGCCTTCTGCGTACATCACCTATGGAAAATAATTGCAGTTAAACAACGTGTTACAGTTCGATTACACAACGGTGGTGCTTTTTCCCCCAAAACTACCACTTGAGGAAAGAACAACCACCGGAACAGAACAGCGGGTTGTCTTTACTTGTTTTTCACCTCGTACGGAGTCGCATCTACTGGGAGTGTTGTCCACCGATCGAGATTGGTCTGTCGGTGGCCCTCGGGGAAACACTCAGCATGGAAGGCCTGCAGGTCCCCGGCCACGACGAGGTCAGCGGCCTTCCGCTTGTTGTCGGCTTCCTGCAGAAGAGTGCGGATGCGCGGGTCGTCCGGCGAGCTTGCACCCACGAATTCTAGCGCAGGCACAACCAAAAACGTTGGTGGATGCGTGTCCAAGGTCGCCGCCTCTGTGTCCGCCCCCGAACAAGAGGCCGCGGGGAATGCAGGGGCTGCGTGAGTGGGAGGCCTTCCTCCTCGGCACATTTCAAGGAGTCGCGCGTACACCGGGGGACGGCTGACGACCTCGTGGAGACCCCGCATGGGCATGGCGTCGACGTCCTGAGATTCGATGCACGACACGCGGGGCCAGGAGCTTTTCCAAAAACACGGAGTCGTACCGTTGAAGGTTAAGGTTGCATGGTACCGCGAATGTGATCATCAGTGTAGCCTAACCTTCGACAGAGCAACACCGAAAGCTGCCTATGTAAGGTCGGAGAGCTTGCTACTTACTCACCACTGACAAGACCAAGTCGGTTCTTGATGCGCGGAGGGCGGCGTTCCGGAGCGAATTTACGGGGTAGAGACCATCTCTCGCAGCAAGACCAGGGGCGGGCTGGCACAGGCATATATCCAGGCGGCATTTCCCCGTGGACTCTACCCTGCGATGAAGGGCCGAAACCTTCCGTCGCATGCGTTGGTCCACATGGCCCCCTCCACCATTGATTATGGCCGCCGAAACCACGCCTGTCCAGAGATCGCACATTCGCTCGAGGCGGTTCAGCCGGGAGAGCGAGCACTGCGTAAAGATGGTGATGTCGGATTCAGCGCGGCGGTGACGGCTCTCAAGCCTGCGGCGAGGGTAACCGAGGTGAGGCAACACAAACAAACAGGTTGGTGGTTTGTGCCAAACCAAGGGGCGCGGGCAGGATGCCCGGCAGAGCGCAAGGAAGGGCGACTATCGACACAGTCAAGATCCCCGCGCCCTGGGGGTAGCTAATCTCGTCGAAATAGCCATCGTACACAATCCCAGCACACCCGCCACGCCGTGACATTTCCCAAACAACGCGAACATCGGGGTGTCTCACCTTGCGACAACGTCGATTCTTTTTGGATGGTACTCGTACCAAAGCGCGTGCAGGCTGGCCCAAAGAGCGTGACGCATGGCGTCTCGGAGGGCGTCTGTGCAGGCCGTTCTTGCCACCCCAACATTGCACTTGCCGAGCTTCGGCCCTGCCCCCACCGGCCAATGTCCCAACTGGTTCTTTCTCAACCCCAAAGGAAACCTTCTCTTGGTGCTGCCACCTCGCGGGGGGTGTCTTCTCTGCAAAGCTTCCGCGTTGACCTCTTCCTTCGCCACTTTATACTGCTCGAGAATAGCGGCAAAACGCTCGGAGTGATACCCCTTGGCGGGCAACGAGAGTTCAGCAACAGCTTCACGATCGAACGTTCTGCGATCGAACGTTCTGTGCCACGACTCTGAACGCTCATGGGGGGCATGCACGAGGAACAGACCATGCTCCACTGTGAACGAAAAGCCAAGGCTGTGGAGTCGATAGAAGAAGATCACCTGGATAGTATCCACCAGCAGAGGACGCGAACAAGGATTATAGGGGTCCACATACTATAAGCGGTGGGGCAGCAACGAGAGGGTAGCGCTTAGTTGAGTTTGAATCACCACGATCGTTGCAACGAAGAATTTTCAAGAAACTTTAGAAATGTGGTTGTATTGCACAGTGGCACACCTTGTTCCTTCCGTAGCCCTCAAATCGTTCGTCAAATGCAGGAACAAGCAGCCGATTCATGATAACGAACGGCTCGAAGCCTTCCTCATAGGCGACTTCGTACCAACCGGACAAGTCGGTGGCTGCCTTCCACCTGTCGAAGTTCGTGGCGCGATGTCCTTGAGCCCACACTCGGCTTGCGAACGGAACCACGCGGCCCTGTTCCCACTGTTTTAGCAATTCCTGCTTACAGGCTAGAGTCTTCAACCACCACGACTTCTCGGGCATTTCAATGGCTGCTCTTTGTGCCGCCTCTTCATTGCTAACACCATCGTCGTCGTCGTCGCGGGCGGCGGACACCTCGAAAGCTGGCAACACGACGCAGTTCAGTCGGCAGGATACGCGCTTAAAAATAGATTTAATCTCCCCAGATGCACGAAGCAGGTGAGCTAGGCGCCGGCACGGGCGAAAGTCCACATCACAAATCAACACAAGGTCGGTGTCCGCCTGGGCCAGAGCTCGGTTCCTCAGTTGGTTGATGGGGTACCAGGATGCCTTCGACGGGCCTCTGCTAGTAAAGCACTGCACGCGTACGATCAGCTGGTCCAACCCAGGGAGGGCATGAATCGCATGGCGAACCCGAGTAGATGCGGTTTTGTCCTGAACAAAGACGGCGACACATATCGTGGACACTGCCGATGCGGCGGAATTACTCTTGACGGTGCCGTCGTCGCCGTCCGTGAGGGCGAGGCACAACCCTTTCAGCTGATGGAAACGATCATCGGAAAGATGGGTTACCACTGACAGTAGCGTGCTGGGGCACCCACTTCGTTCAACTCGTTCGAGTCCAAGGACTTCGCTCCACAACAGCCGCAGCGGATGTACCCGCATGTACAGTAGTCGGAAGATGTGCGGAGAAATTGTTCTCAGATCCAGGATTCTCGTGAGGGCGGCGGTTGGCGGTTGGCGGTTGGCGACGGAGCAGCGGTGGGGTGGCGGCGATGGTGGGGGACCAATGGGTTGAAATCAGCTGCAAAGAAGGGCCGGGTCGAGCGTCAACACCGAAGCCGAACGCAGGCTGTGGTGTAGGAACGCGTCGGTGCACCGCTCACCGGATATAAAATCAGGTCAATATGCGGTGGAACTGCTGCTTCTTCGGATTCCGTTTCACATCATGCGTCCAATAAGGAGTGACGAAGAGGGACACAGAGACACCGCCCTGACAGCGAGAGAAGCTACTTTCGTCTTGTTTATCTTGAACCCTTTCATGTTTCCTTTACCTGCTACTCAACGAGGGGCATCATAGCCATTTACTTGTTGTCTAGACTGCTCTAGATGCAGAACAAGGAGGCATCGCTCCACGCTTGAATCACGGCGGCAACTCTCTCCAAGACTTACAGGAGTAGTCTAGAGTCTTGACTGCACACCATTGGCGCCGGTGCGCTCCGCATGCAACAACCCGCATCCGCAGGGTCTTTTCCGTTCATCGGCGATGCGGTGCAAACTTAGAGGTGGAAATGCAGCCAACGCAGCAAGCACTGGAACCGCCTTCACCTCCTCCGTCGTCCTCCTCGTCTCCTCCCCATGCCCCGCGGAGAAAGCCGGTGGGTATAAGCGTACGGCTGCATATATTTTCTAGGGTCAAGCCCCCTAGATCCAGACCACACGTCATTCGTGCCGCTGTATTCGAGGGGGATGGGGAGATCGTACATCATAGGTTGGACTCTGAGCTGTTTCTCACGCCTTGTTCAAAACGTCATTGACACATGAACGGTTGATCAGCGTTTATTCAACGGCAGTTGTAGCGGTAGCGTAGTAGCAGTTTTCTAGCGCTAATACTGAAGGGCCTCAGATTGATTATCATTGCCATTACAGTCTGACCTACACTACAAAGACTACATGTAGCCTACGCTTCTCGGGGCGTTTGCCTTCTACTACAGTACAACAGAGCAAGAAGCGATACGTGACGACACCCGTTGATCGATACACTTGTTGACATTGAGTCTACTACTGGTTGTTGTTGTTGTTGTTGTTGTTGTTGTTGTTGTTGTTGTTGTTGTTGTTGTCGTCGTCGTCGTCGTCGTTGTTGTTGTCGTCGCGCTTCTCATCCAACGACACACCACATACTGGTACATGCTTTTGTCCAGTACCCCCCTCTTCCTCTTGGTCATTGGTGTGGGACCGCGATATTCGCAATTTTGGTAGCTTGTCAGAATGAAAGGGTATCGAGGGAACGGGAATGAGTCCATGTAAGACGATAACTAATCGGCGTCTCATCGCGTTCGCTTATCAATGATGAAGTGAACTCTCATCGTGCCGGCACCTACTGCACGAGACGTCTACCGTGCCTCTCTGGAGGTTTGTTTCGTCTCCCCAGGACCACCACATGGCCGTCGCTTTGCCACGCGTTGCCACCCAACTAAAGTGCTCTAGTTCATCTTGCAACGCCCTCCACTTCACCTCCACTCAATGCTTTTCCTCGACAGCATACCCCCTTGCCTTCGGGCGATGGCGACGGAGCGCTGGAGCTAGGTAGTCTAAGTCTCATAGATAGGGCTCGCGCTCTGTGCGCGGCCGCGGATGACGTACAAAAAGCCACGATCGAGGCCAGCCGCCGCATAGCCGCCATTCACGGAAACCCAGACCGACCTCCGAGGCAAAAAAAAAAAAACACCCCGGTCAAAGAGCCGCCAGACATCTGCGCACGACTGCCTTCGGACATCCCACCGCCGCGAGGAGAAGGGTGGCGGCGCCTGGGGCCCGTGTCCGTGGTCTGTGGGTCAAACCGAATATCCGCGCCACCCCAGACTAATCGCCGGGCCCTGACGCGAGAGGTGGAGGTGTGTATCGACGGCGGCTTCTACAGCGTTGTTCCGGCCGACATAGACCCGGGGGGGGGCTTTTGCGTGTCGCTCGATCGCGATTTCGCCGGCGAGACAAACATGGAGTGCATGTTGTACCTCCGAAAGAAGGCGCGGAAGAAAAAAGTCATGACTGCTACTACGCATGTGAAGGATAGCGCTACTGGACAGACCGGCAGAGTCGCTGCACTAGGTGAAAGTGGAAAAGAAGAAGCGCCGTGCGCTGCGGCGCTAGCACCGAGCAAGGTACGTGCGGGTCGAAAAGAAAGTGAGGAGACGCCGAAAGATTTCGGTAGCGATTCCTTTCACGACGTCGGTAGCTGTCATCATCATCACTCTCTCCGTGTATTCCTACACAAAAACGATGCCCATCGGACACAACCCGGTGTGTATATTGACACACTCTGCACTTACATCACCATTCGGTTCTCTCTCTCTCGGCGCCACAGGTAGAATGTTCGTTCACTCCCGTGCCTCCTCCGCAGAGCGCGACAATGGCTCCGGCCCCGTTCGGGTCCGTTGGAGAAACGCCAAAGCCAGCCGTGACGATGTCGGCTGGAGATAGGGCGCCACCATCGAGAACAACAGGGCCACCGAGCCCGTTTTCCGCCGGCATGGAGCGAGAGCTGGACGTGTTTGTTATGTCGCGACCCAAGGACAAAAGCGGCATGAGTTCTGCCGTCGTGCTCGAAGCGCAGAGACGCGCCCGGCGCAGGGCCCTGTCGATGCAAAAGCGAAAGACCGCCGAGGAGGAACGAAAAGCGGGAGCCCTCGAGGTATGCACGAGTTACGCCACCCGAGTGCCGTGCCCTTGTGCTCTTTGCCCGTAGTAGAACAACACCGTCACACAAGCTTTGCGATTGCGGTTACGTGGTTGGGAGAACCGTGGAAACGTAACCCAGATTCAAAGGGAGACAGGTTCCTCGCAATCACTCATCGTTTGACCAGCATGTGTGCACGACGGCTTTTGTGGCGTGAGACTGAGTTGTACAGGACCGCTGCTCTTACATACCCTCATTCCATCGCCGCTCTTGAATTGCGCTCCTGGTGGCTTCCCTTGTGGCATCCAAGTCGGCGAAGAAACCCCCAACCGTGGCGGACATCGAGCGGCTCAAGGCATCCCGCCGCGCGGCGCTAGCAAGAGCAGCTTCCCAGATACAAAAGGCGAAGAGCCAGAAACAGGAGGCCGAGGCAAGGTCCGAAGGAGAGAGACAGACGAGGGAGGCCGAAGCGGCACGAAAGGCACATGCCTTGAGGTCAGCGGCTGCGGCCCGGGGCAGCATAGTGGCCGCCGAAAAGAAACAGCGGGAGCGACAGCTGGGGCTAGTGCGGCAGGCTGAAGCCGAGGCCAAGCGGGAGAGAGTCGCGGCAGTCCTCGCGTACGACGAGGCCCAAGCCGACGAGCGAGAGAGGCGCGTGCGAAACGAAACGTACGCGAGGATACGCCGGGAAGAGCGGCGGCGAGAGTTGGCCCTACAGCGGCAGGAAGACGAGAGGGTCGAGATGATGCGGATGTACGAGGCCGGGGAGAGATACAAAGGCACCAGTCCTGTGGCCACAGTGCTCCCCGCTCCTGTGCCCGCGGTGCACTCCGCTCGGTCGTTTTTTAGCATCACGGACTCGGCGGTGAGTGAGTGCTGTGAGGCCTCAAAACAGCCGTGGCGTTGTGAATTCAATCGCAGGACGCTGAACGTCTCCAGGTATATTTTGTTAGAACCTGGCATCACGGTCCTCACATGCTGTGTGCGTACAAAGTTGCCGCTATGGTATTCCGTGCATCCTTCAAACGCTAGCATGCTCAACGTCTGGCGTTTAGGCTATCTGGCGGTACACCAGGTACTATTTTCAAGTAAAATAGCATGATTTACGGACGCGCATACATATCCCCACCGTGTTTGACAAAAGTCCCTTGAACGAACCCCTACCAGCAGTCCATTGCCGAGACCGTTGTTGGAGACAATGGCCCAGGGGTCGCATCTTCCGCGTCTAGACGAAGAAAAACCTGGCGGCGAGTAGACCCCGACCACATCGAAGAAGTCCAAGACGCGCTCGAGGGTGCATGTAGCAACAGCGGAGGTGCCCAGGACGTGCGAAAGGCCGAGCTCGACGCCTTGAAATCAACCCATCACCAGCCCCAAGCGAACCAACAGGGGTCCACCCCCGCCCAGCACACCACTACCACCACCTCTCCGAGCGGCGGTGCTTTGTTGGAGCCACACCTAGCGTCATCGCCAACAAACGCAAGACGTGCCTCCGGGTCCTCATGTGCCCCACCGCTACCAGACGACGACAGCGGTGAAATGGTCACCGTCAGTCGTAGGCTTAGAAAGCCTCCCCTCTTGTCGCCGACCCGACCCTCGTTCTCGTCGAGATATGCGAGAAGCGCAAGCGCGTCGGCCACTACCGGTGTCGCGGCATCTGCTTACGGCAGCAGAAATAGAAAACAAGGAGCTCTAGGAAGGAGAAGGATAAGCACAACGCCTGTGTGGAAGCGGCCGGCGGTGCCGCTGAGCAAGCCGTACGTTCCCGTGCCGCAGAAGGACACCGGCGGCCGTATTTCATGAGCATCGGGCTGATCATGCTCCACGCCACGCCACGCCACGCCACGCCACGGCGGCCTCGCGAGATGTGCCTCGTCTTTTCCTTGTATTCCGGATCGTGAGTGATACCCCCCCTCCTCTATGATGCATGCGTGCGTCTGTGTCGTTGCACTGCACATCGGGTTGTTGTGCACGTTCAAACGATTTCCAATGTGATCGTATGGCAAGGCGGAAATAGAGGATCCAGGCTTTTCTTGAGCGGTGGCGGGCTCGGAGGAAGCGGCATTCAACTAGTCTACGTGTGTTGGGATGGGTGGATGTTCAAGGTGCCGGACGAAATGCACCCGCTTGAGTCACCCCATGGCGACAACAAGCACTGAACGTACGTATAGAGCCGACCGGTTGTAGTTCCACCCGTTGACACGAGAGTTGACCCACTGTCGCAGAGACCACGTGCCGAAGGAAATAGCTATGCGTCTACACGAATCACGTTTCGAAATTCCCACGTATGGGTGGGAGAGAGCCGACGAGGGCCGTTGTCGCCCCCGCTTTCACACGTTTGTACATGTCGTACGTGATAAACTCAACACGATCGCGAAATGGGGCAAAGGATAACGACGATCCAGCAGACCCTGTACCGCCAAATTCTTCCGCTCGTGAGCAAGCGTTCAAACGACCCGGAACGTTTGCGAATCACAGCAGTGAACGGTTGGGCGGGTTAATCAGCACATACGGGTCCACCCTTGACGAAGAAGGACACGCTAGCCTTTGCGCGTCATCTAAACAACTCGACTGATTGCTTGTCACAATCACACAGGCTGTGCCTGCCAGCGAGCACAAGCCACGCCGCGGTGCAAGTGCGCTTGTAACAGAACACGACTTCGGTGGTTAATTTAAGACAGTGCAAGGCACGAACGAACGCGACGCCGCGCTTGCGGTCGGGCGGATGGGCCGCCTACCGCAACATGACAGTCGCACAACATCTCTGAAATCTACAAACAACCGCATTCCGAAACCACCACAGCTTTTTTTCAGTCTCACACGACGAAGAGAAAACGGACAATGTTTACTTGTAGCACCCACGGACAGACTAGGCACAACGCTACATTACGGCTTCACGGCACGCCACTGAGAGGCAAAGCAACGCGCACGCAAGCGCCGTGATGCGTGAGCCCACGAGAGGGTTCCAGCTTTGTGTTGCGCGGATACGTAGAGTGAATACAAAAAAACAGAACAAAACCAAAACCTTTCCAAAGCAGAAGACAACACATGGCAAAGTATGTCCGGTCGTGCAGCGTTCGTTTCGGCACGGCAGAGACCCAGGACTGTCAAACCTGTGTTGCTGAAGCAGCGCAAGTAATTGCTTGCCGAGAGCGTTGGGACGACAAAACCGACCAAAGTGAACGACGGATAAAAACTGCATACCACCAAAGGGCGCAATCACACCAAGTTAGCTATAGTTACGCGGAGAGAGAGAGGGAGAGAGCAAAACCACACGCAAGACCCTCCCCTCCGATATTCCTGCCTTTCCAAAAAAAGAAACTCCGAAAGCCTCCTAGGCTTCTTAAGCTCCCCAGGTTTCTCGAGCCCCCCCCTCGCCCACCGCCCCCTCCACCGCCCCCCGCTCGCCCCCGGTTTCAAAAACGCAATATTTGTAACCAACAACCCTTAAAGCTGACGTCGACCAAGGTCGTCGCGGGGGCAACGATAAATGACATACTTTTGTCTGTCTGCGGTGTCTCCACCCGAAAACAGCACCAAAAGTGGGTAGGTCCTATACGCAAAGGAGACAGGGTAAGTAATCAAATTACAAACTGAGTACTGTTACAAAAGCTGCTGGAGGCAAGAGCCGCGAACTCGGGTAAAAAACGAGAGGTTAGATGAATGAACGCAGGAGAGAAAATCTCGTTCCCGTGTCTGCATGCCTCACGATGCTTGGCAGACGTGCGTCTCTCGATTCCCTCCGCACTCTCCCCCCCTTCCCGTCCCGTGGACCCATAGAACGCGAGCCAAAATAAACGAAAACCCACGTTGATGATTTCGCACCAGAAAGACCCCCCCCTCGTTATATCTCCTGTTCCCGCACCGACAACACCTTGCGCCACACCAAACTACACTTGGCCACACGCACCCAAACAACATCGACCACGCACGCACGCATGCACAAACACACACACATATCGAGGGCGCCCCGTTGACCAGACATCGCTTTCGCATTTTCTTGGCCCGCTTGTACCAAGGCTGACTTTTGTTTTATATTGGTCAGCCGGTTAGCGCCGTCGACGCTAAAAAAATAAAAGAAACACACACACACATGCAGCTCGTCGTCGCTCGCCAAAGCCGTCCCCTGTCCCCTCTCTCCTCACCCCCCAGAGAGAACACAGCACACGTGTCAGCGTGTGCTCCCCTTTCGTCTCCGCCACGTTCACGTATGAACCACCATCAGTGATCGAACGACATCGACCCCGAGAGCGAAGAGCTTCGTCGGCCCCCCAACTGCATGCACGAGCTGCACATGCACGTGCCCCCCACGGGACAGGCCCCGAAAGCATGGGAGCGTGAACCACATTCTTTGCGGTCACAGAACTGCTCGTGGCACTTGCAACAAGTGTGTTTTCCCCTCCGATACCTGAATAAAGAGCCCGCGGGGGGGGGGAGATGTGGTGGGAAGATGGCGGGGCGAAGGTACAGGCAATATATTGGCAACAATCTCTTAGCGCTGCATCCAGCAGTCAACCCTTGGGGGCTACCCAAGTCTTTGTGGGGAATTTCATCGCCACCCTCGCTTTCGGCGCCCGTCTGAATGGGCTGTACATAGGGACAGAAAGAGGCGCAGCAGAGGAGGAAAATTGATGCCAATCAAAAGACACGGCAACAATCTCCGAGTCTAGTCTTGGCTCACGCTACTGTGCTATGCGAGAGCTAAAGTGGAAAGAGAAACGGCGCGAGCGGACCCTGTTTTGCATCAGACGGATATTGGGAGGTACCTTTTGTTGAGCAAGAGTAGACGACGAACTTAACACAACAGCGCTCCGTGCTATGCGAGGAAAACTGGCCTAAATCCCGCAAAAATTCAAACCACGACGAACGTAAATCCACGCACAGAACTGGCACCAACTCTCGGGCATATATCCCACCCCTCATACGTACCCGTTGAGACATGGACGGATGGGAGTTCAAGAGTGACAATTCATACGCTTGATATTGCCTCCATGACTGCACATCTTTACGCGCGCGCGGCTGACTGCGGACTCCAGTCCACACATGGTTGACGACCAACTATTTTTCCAAGAGACAACGGGTGAAATCACCCGGATGGCCATAAGGTACTGATGACTGGTGGTCGTGTGACAATGCGCAAGATCGTTGTACATGGCCCGTGTGAGTTTGTGTGCTTGAGTGAGCTCCCTCGTTTCTGTCTGGAGTTCATCTCCGCTACACTTTGCTATGTTTCGGAATTTCGCATGCACGCACTGAAGCACTTTTGCCGAGGAGAGATGAGCAGACGACAGGTAGAGGATGGTCAGATTGGCTTCAATCGGTACTGCCCGTAGGCGTGCTGCGGTAAGTCAAGAGAGCCGAATAACGGCATGTGAGAGGCGGAGCGGGATCGATGTTTCTGTGATCTGAGAAAAGGGACAAAAGTGATACACTGTTATAAAACTTGACGGGGTGCCTGTGCGGCCCACCCACCATCTATATACTTAGTCTCACCATTTCCACTCCTTGCCGCACTCTTTGCACACATCCTTGTCGTCCCTCGAGGAGCTGTGCCCGTACATCATCATCCTCTTCGCCCGTTCCCTTCGCACGCTATCGCCGATGGCCGCGCTGCTCACACCCGCCCTGCCCAGGCCGCCGCCGCCGCCGCCGCCACCGCCGCCCGGTTTCCCCGCCGTCGCCCCTCCTCTCGGCGGAGAAACGTCGCTGCTGGCTCGTCTCAACCTCTCCTTCGTTCGCCTCGAAGACGCAGGCCTGGTACTACCAGAGCCCAACATCTTCGTGCGAGGCTCGGCCCTCTCTCTGTCACCCCACCCGCTGCCGTTGCTGTGAACCGACGTCGGCGAACTCGCCCCTCCCCGGCCCTTAACCCCGTCCCGATCGGAAACCGCCGCCGCCGCCACCGCTGAACTTCGGGCCGTGCCCGTTATCGCAGCCTCGGGTTGCTGTCTCATCTTCTCCGACTCCCTTCTGCTGCCGCTGCCGCCGCTACTGCTACCACTAAAACTCCCGCTACCGCTCCTACTGCCAACAACATCTCCTGACGCGCCCCTCTGAATACCGCCACCACCACCCCCCCCGCCGCTCAGCGCTCGCAAGCAAAAGGCCACCGCTACGGACACAGCGGTAGCGACGACCAGACCGCCCAGCGAAGCCTCCGCGCTGTCCGCCCCGCCCGCTCCCCCTCCGCCGCCGCCGGGCGACCAAAACCAAGAGGTCCGGCCCGGCACGCAGTCCTCAGACGAGGCTACCACGTCCACCTCCACGGAGCCGCTGTGCCCCAGCGCGTTCCACGCCTGTAGGGCGTAGCGGTAGGCCGCCCCCGGCTGGAGCCCCGCGTCGAAGAAGGCGCCGCCCGGCCCGGCCATCACCGTCACCCAGCCGCCGTCCCTCTCCCCCTCGGCGCCCAGCAGGGCCCGCCGGAGCACGTGCTTGTGCACCGGGAAGCTGAGCTCGCTGTTGGCCGGGCACGTCTGGTCCCACTCCAGGCTCGCCGCGCCGCAGGCGGAGCTCGTCGCGCGGAGCCCCGCGGGGGCCGCGGGCTCCTCGCCCATGCCCCACAGCTTCCACTGCATGCTGCGGACCAGATTCCGCTTGAAGGCCGGCCGGGTGATGTCGAGGTCTTGCTCCAACAAAGCGCCCTGCGTTCAAAAAAAAGAAAAATGAAGATGAATTGATTGTTGTGAAATAGAAGTAGGTGGTGTTGCTCGTTCATTTCTTTGTGCGTGCCAAGAGCAAAACCAACGATGTAGACACTTACTCTGACAAGAACCAAAAAACGAAATCAGATGAGGGTACATGAGAAGTAGCACCTGAGGCAACACGCGGTAGTTCGTTGTGTTCTATCATTTTTCAGGCAAGCAACGAATTACAAGCCATTTTTCCTCGGAGCAAAACATTTTCCCGATCGAGTCTCCCGTTTGCTCTGCGTTAGCTTTCGGTGTGTGTAGTTGAAAAAGACTTCCGTCAACCCTCGCACCTCCCTCTCGGGCCTGAGTCAAACGCCCCAAAACCACTATTTACCGTCGTTCTCCCCTGCCTCCAACCCCGGTTCGCATCCCGCTGCCACCGTTGACGTACAAGGCCAAAACAGTAAAACTTGCACAAACCTCCCAACGGTGAGACAAGCCCTCCCCCAAGGGTGAGACGAACAATTGGGCCCGAACCTGCGCCCCCGGAAGCACCGCTCACCTGGCGTGCTGCCAGTTCGGGAAAGTCGTAGCCAGTGACCATGTTGTTGACGAAGGCGTCGGCCACTTCCTGGGGTAGCTGCGCCGCGTGCAGCACCCACTGGGCGGCCTCGTCCACCGTCAGCAGCGTTCCTGTGATCACGAGGGCATCCGTTCATTTAGAAATATTCCTTTTCTTCAAGAAACATCTCCCTTTCTTCAAGAAACATGACCGTTCGAGTAGAAACATGCCCTTTCTTCAAGAAACATGACCGTTCGTGTAGAAACATTCCCTTTCTTCCTTCAAGAGACATGACCGTTCGTGCAGAAACATTCCTTCGTTTAGAAAACACTTGACAACGACGACACGGGGGGACAATGACTGGCCCATGATTTCGGGAACGAAGTCCTGATGGCTGCGCGACTACCACTGGTTCTCTCGGAGGGAAAGGCGGGGGTTTGCTAGCCCTCGTGTGTTGTTACCACAAATGGCGGCAAGAGCACGCAGCATCGCATCGAAAAACACAGAAGACAAGAGCAGCATCGTTCGGGTGCAACTTTCTTCATCGAGTGTTCCAGACACCATCCGACCGGACCAACCGAACGCTCCGCAAGACGGCGACCAACAACCGGTTGTGAGCGGTTGTAGACAAGCCAAGCCAATCACGCCATATCCTGCCCTGCCGCCTCACCCAGCCGGTCCCAGTACGTGTTGAGGTCGGACCGAGAGAGCGCTTGGTCGGCGTTCCTGTCAAGGTTCTTGATCACGCTCGCCACGCCGGCCTCGATCTCCGAGGCATCGTCTAGGAGGGAGCCCCCGGCGCGCTCGACAAGCTAGAGGGATGTTCGTTGGGGGGCAGGGGGGGGCGGACGGGAGTGAACCGAGTGATGTCGAGTCAGTCCAGCCACAAGATGCAAAGTGGGTGGATTGTTCCCCCCAATTATCAAAAGCACATGCTCGCACACTCTCCCCTAGAGCAAAAGGAACACCCATCATAAACATTTTGAGCCCACTTAGCTAACAGAGGTAATTGGACTGAAAAAAAGACAAAAGAGAAAACACGCGCTACCAAATCTACAAAAATTAGGTCCCTCCATGACCATACGAGCTACTACTGCCGTAAACGATCCATGTCCGCTTGCCATTTAACAAACTCACACACTGAATCTCCTGTCCGTCTGGCTTTCAACTAACTCACATACTGAATCTCCTCGTCCCCGATGACTCCGTTCTTGTCCTTGTCGGCGCGCTCGAAAATGTCGTCCACCACCGATTCCGGCAGTTGCACGCCGCCGGCCGCATACGCCGCGGGGCCGAACAGCACCACGCCGCCGCCGCCGCCACCAACAGCCCAACCCTCCCCGGCTGCCGCCCTTCGTCTGCGGGCCTCCTGAAGAAGCGCGGCCCCGCCGATCGCCAGCAGCGAGAGCGTCAGGAGCACCAACACCGGCCGGAGGAAGCGGGGCACTTCTCGGTCCCCGCTGTTCTTGGCCGCCGCCGGCATGACCGTCGGCGGCGGCGACAAGTCGTCGTCGTAGGCCACCGGACACTCCTTGCCAAGGCGGCTCCTCCTCTTGCTGAGAGCACTCGACCGCCCCCCCGCCGTTCTAGAGGTGGCCGCAACGGCAACCCCGCCGGAAAGGCCCGCCCGCTCGGCCCACCCGGGCGCGCTGCCGCCCTCCGAGGCGATGGAGGTCGCCGGCGAAAGCGGCTCGCGGTCGCTCCCGTCGCCAGCGCCGCCGCCGTTGTCGTCGTCGAGTAGTATGAAGGGCACGAGGCATGCCGGTTTTCTTGCCTTTTCGTCGTCGAGCGACGATATCACAAGAGACGCTGCCGCCGCTGTTGTGGTGGTGCTGTTGTTGCTGTTGTTTTCGTCACCAACCGCCTTAGAGTCGGGGCTAGCGTTGCCGCTGCTGGTAGCAAGGTGGTCGTCGGGGGAGCCGCCTCGCCGTTGCGGGGGAACTGCTGTTCGGTGGTTCAAGCAAACACCCGGAGATCTTGTTGTTGCTGCTGGCGCCGCTGCCGGTGCCACCACCGCCGTCCCTGTTGTGTTCGAAGCCGTCGCCGGCCCTCTGACAAGGCGTCCGAGCGACAGCCGACTTGGCGACCGACTTGGCGACTGCGTGCTGCTGCCACATGCGGCCGTACCCTTCCCCCCACCGTTGACTGTGGACTTGCCGCTGACATCTCCAGACGACTTGTATTGTTGTAGGCGCCGAATCGATCGCCACCTCAGCAACCTCCTGTTGCCGTCTCCCCTCGCGCCTCCCTCTCCAACCGCACACGCTACTGCTGTACCCTCTCCTGCCCCTGCCAGACTCCCACTCCAAGCTCCGCCCACCTCCCCGGCGGCTAAACTGTACCGGCTGCCCTCGACAGAACTAGCTTCGAAATTGCCGACAGCAGCAGCAGCGGCGGTTGACGATGACGAGGCGGTCTGCGGCTTCAACAAGTGTTCTGGAGACACTTGTACAGCCTGGGACCTGCGGCATTCCTTCCCTCCGCCAGCTGCCTCTACTAGGCTTCCGCTACGGTCACACCGTTGATGCTGCTGTTGCTCCCTGGACGTCGCGTGGCGGCCGACGAAGGGAAGGGGCAGCGGAGGGTGATGGTGTGAACGTTTCATCCGGGAGGGAGGTGTCCACCGGGTCACGTGCGGAAGCAATTCGACTAAGGCTATTCTGTCTCTGTTTCTCTTTCTCTAGCAAAACGCCTGACCATCTACAACACACAACGAGGAATACGAAATGATCAGGGAAAGTGGTCAAGCATGCGCAGCTTCTCCTCGCTTTCCATCGCGTCGCCGGCTCTACGCTCGGTATCCAACCCCATCCCGTTTTGGTTTCTTGCTTTTCAGTTCCAAGAATATGGTTGGTCTGACCGAGCAAACACTCCGGCTTACCCTTCGAGCTTTGTCGCCACAGCACTCTTACGATTCCACATGGCGAGAAACGGGTGCCCACGCCCCTTTCATTCCCGAGGCATGGAGCCGTGAGCAGTGCTGTGGCTGTAAGTTCGGGTCTGACTCTACCCTGGTGTAAAAAATCACCATATCTCGCGCTCGTAAGATGCGGGGTATCATCGGGGGGGCACACAGATGACGGTTTCCCCCCCCATCCAAACTTAATTAAGGAATAACAAAAACACACACAGAAAGACTACCCATTCGAGATATTGTTGTTGTTGTTGTTGTTGTTGTTGTTGTTGTTGTTGTCTTCACATTAAAAACCGTTCCGATCTCTCTCTACCCAGTACCTTCGTATGTCCGTACTGATCCAACACTCGACGCGGTCGATTCCCGTGGTCACAGGTTAACTTACCCTAAAAAGGTACACTCAAATAAACTGGCCCCGAGGGGTCCGCAAGTCAATAGAAATCAACGACAGATATTATTCGAGATATACCCACAGTCGAACGGGATGTGGTGGAGTCTTTTCAGTGAGTGCTTGTTTCGAATGTTTGATTTGCTGTTTGCAAAAGTGACTCACGGTCCTTGCATCATCGCGATCATCATGCATTGCATTCAGAACCTGCTGTGTTGCCCAGCGCTGCGTGTTCCTCTCCATGCCAGCCCTGCTATCATGGTGTGCAGAATTACGCGTCATTGGCGAATAGTTTAGTGCTTGATTGGATATAGTACCGATGACGTCAATTCCGAGTATCCAAAAAGACTGCATACTTGTACAAGTTCTCTCCTCTCACCTACGTATGTCTGCTAGATCTACTCAATCACTGCTGTACACATGACAAGAGTATCTTCACCGCCGCATGTGACGTTGTAGCCTATAGACAACAGCAGGTTCGTAGACACAAGTCCAACTCAACTCCTCATCCGTACTTAAACGTCCAGGTGGACAAAATCAGAGCAAAATCACGATTATGTAGGTAGATGACGACCTTGGAACCTGCCGAGTTGAAAAAAAAGTGGAAATTTCTGCGACGGTTGGTGCGCAGGAACGGGGTAACCCGTGGACCAATCAGCTAGCTCCTTCGCTGTTGGCCCGACCATTGATTGGAAACATGAACATTGCCTCTGCTTGTATGCATACATAGCATCCACCAACGTGGATCCACCCTCGCATTCCGCTGTGTGCAACGAGCACGTGGGTTTGGTTTTGTTTGATGGCGGGGCAGACCATTGGTGGCACAGATTCCCCAGCTTGATCTACTGCAATTGACGCAATCGCCTTTTGGGACTGTTCGACATGCCGTCAAACTGTACACTTCCAGTCTGCCTACCACTCCTGGGAATTCCTGTTCTCGTGCACGCTCCAGTCTCAAGTCAAAACAATTACTCTACTTAGTATCCATGCCACCTCACGGGATCGATGGTTGGTTGTCTCCCGATACAATTGGCTCGCCCCTAATCGCCACACGCAAGCTGGTCTAGAAAAGGAACGGCCTAACCACACGTCCGTGCAAAGAACGACGCTCCCGTCGTCGCGTTCCTCTTTGAAAAAGAATGGTAACAGAGGACGCGATAATATACGGTTGTAAGTGACCTCCAAACTTGTACTCTTAGCCCCCTAGCTTGTGTTTCTGCGGTAAGACCTTCGGGATAACAGAGGTCCTTTGTACAACATACCCCCCCCCCCCTCCCGCGCCAATGCCATCGTCTCGGGGTGCGGTAGAATCGCACTACTACCACAATACTACCCGTGAACCACCCTCGCCCAATTCTTGCAAACTACGGGGTTCCAACAACCCCCGCGTAAAAGATCGTTTTCGTGTTGAACGAAGAAAGTCCTTTCTATTGCTACAACGGAGCTCCCTCCACCGCCGTCGCCCCCTGCTCTTGCCGCTCCCACATGAACGCGCCTCTCGTCGCGTCGTCGAAAAGCAGCCCCCGCTTGGCTTCGTCGTCGAAAGCTTCCTCGGGAAACCACACCCCGGGCCGCACCTGTTCCAATCAAGTTGTACCCACGGTCGGATCAAACCCCCCACCCCCCCCCAACCAACACGCAAAATAACAAGGGGAAGAAGAAGAAGAACACCGCTCGTTAGCAACCCGAGCAGGGCAGATCACGGCACGGGGCAGGGCGCAGCATGGTAGTAGCGCAGCGCGGCGGGGGATGGGTAGGTGCATCTGACGCGAGGAAAGTCCAGAAACCAATCAATGCGTAAGAGAGGCGGGCAGAGCCAAACATTTGATTTTCCTCTGTTGTCTGCCGACAACAGTCTGAGCCAGCATTGAAAATTGGTCTTGGTGCCATGCCGGTCTTGTGTGCATAGCGGTGTGCGCACTCACATCTCCCCTGAGGGTCGCGACGACGAAGGCGGCCGTAGCGATGCCCACGCAGACCTCGAGGTCTTCGTGAGCGTAGTTGAGAACAGCCTTTCTACCGTCCTTGGCCACCGCCTCCAGCCGCATGGCGTTCGTTGCTCCAACCTTGGTGTTGTTTGGGTTTTGGAGCAACGACGTGCATGCGTGTGCACGTTCCGTGTTGAGGTAGACGATAGATAGATAGATGGATAGATAGATAGATAGATAGATAAGAGCGAGAGAGAGAGAGAGAGAGAGAGAGAAAGAAAGGTCAGTAGTGGTGTCGATGATTCCCTGTCTTCCCCCGAACCAGACCCGAAAGCGTCTTTCTTGCCACCAACCGCGATTCGGAGGTCGGTGACGTGCTACGCTGCACCTGCGAAGCAGGGTCACAGCTGCGCAGAGTAGGGGTACTATTCATCACAAATGACTCCTGTACCCAAAAGCCCCGCTTGTTCTCTCTCGCCCCCCACCCTCCCGTCTCTCTGTCTCTGTCTCTGTCGCTGTCTCTCTCTGTCTGTCTGCCTGTCTGTCTGTCTGCCTGTCTGTCTGTCTGCCTGTCTGTCTATCCTTCAGGAGGACGACAATGGCGTGACAGAGAGAATCCACATCCAACGCCAAAGCCCTTCTCGCCGCAGAGCTCCGGTGCGGAGGCCGGCCGTGAAGGAAATAACGAGTACATTCGTCAGCAAGAAAAAAACGAAACATGAAAAAAAGAAAAAAGACATCCCAAGATATTTGCCAAGATAGCAGTCCGTTTGGCGCGTCCATCTAGTCTCCCAACTCTCACCAGCTTGTCCGTTATTCGGACCAGGGGCTCGGAAAACTCCGCGAGCGCCTGCATGAGGTCACGGTTGCCCATTATGCTGTCGGGCAGGAGAGTCATCCCCTTCAGCAAGTAGTTCCACGGCTCTGGGGACGTGCCGAAGTAACTGGTAACAAAGGGCCACGAGTTTGCGGTTACAAGGTAAAATGGGTGTTACGCTGTTTTTTTGTTGCCGTTTAGAACCGCTCTTGATCGTTTGAGAACACCAATCCAAACCCCGTCTTAGGCGGGGAGACACTTCCCACACTTGATAGGTGCTGTCTCTGCTGCATTACCCAATCGTGTTCGTTATGGAAACACTGGCCTTGCCGTGAGACGAGGATGGGTGGGCAGGGAATCGCACTTGTAGGCTTTGAGGGTCCAAGAAGCACATAGATCTCCTTCGCCGAACGCGTGCGCAGGCACGCCGTCCAAAGAGACCCCCCAAGTGGTCGCGATGTCGAGGTAAGAGTTGCGGTTGGGGGTTTCATACAACGTAGGACCGCCGTGGCGGTTACTCACGTGCTGATGTTGGGAATGCCGAGAACTTGGTTGCACGTGAAGGACTCGATGAGGTTCATCCGGAAAACCTAACAAACACGGAAACAGAGAATGAGACAAGAGAGACAGGGAGATGTACAGAGGTGGGGAGGAGTGTACTTATGTACTCGTAGTCGTGCATGCCGTAGTCGTTAGACCATTGACCTCGCATCCCTACAAAGCCGGGACGGAGCACGCCGGGTTCTCACCGGACCAGGTTCTCACATCACCAAGCGCGAAGCGCCGTGAGGTATTCGGCGAGTCGCATGAAGGGTGAGCTGCATCCTGCTAAGGGTGTTCGGCATCTTGTGCTTACTTCCTTGCGTACAGATGACAGCTGCGTATGACTTACTTATTTTCTGGTGCTTTCACTTCCAGAGACAGGTATAAGCACGGCTGTGTAACTGCCTCGAGGATGCTTGACCATTTTAACACAACGTGGTGCGATCATCCCCCTTGCGCGGAGTGAGGGTTCTCCACCCCGTACAACATGATCTACTCGACCACCATTATGGTTACCGCAAAAACAAAAACCAGAGGTAAAAAACCCCGGAAACCTGGTTGCCGAGTTCACGAAGCGAATTGGCTTGTTTTACAACGTCGTTGCCAAGCGACGAAAACCCAACCCCGATGGCAAACACCGGGGGGGGGGGGGGGGGGGGGGGGGAAAAAAAAAAAAAAAAAACCCCCCACCCCCCCGGAAAAAATTTTTTTTTTTGGGGGGGAAAAAAAAAAAAAAAAAATTGGAGCTTCGGGGGGGGGGGGCACCCCCCCCCCCTCCCCCCCCCCCAACCCCCCGGGGGAACCCCGCCCCCCCCACCCAACGCCCCCCCTTGGGCCCGGGAGCCCCCCCCCCGGGGGGGAAAAACCCCCCTGCCAAAACGGGAAGGGGATGGAACGGGGGGGGGGTTTCCAGCCCCCCCCCCCCAAAACCCCGGGGGGGCCCCCCCCCATCCTGACCCCCTAAGGGGAGGGGGAAACAAAAAAAAAAGGAAATTTTTCCCCCGGGGAAGGGGGGCCCCCCCCCCATCGGGGAAAAACCCCCCCAACCCACCCCCCCCCCCCCGGGGGACCCCTTTTCCTTGGTTTTTAAAAAAAACGTAAACCCCCACCCTGGGGCGGGGGTTGAACTTTCCCAAGGGGCCAAAAACTGGCCGGGGGGGATCAAACCCCAAAAAAGGGGTTTGGGGGGGGCGCAAAAAACCCCCCCTTTTTTCCCCAAAAAACGGCCC